ATCAGGGCTAAACGGCTCTAGGGCCACCAACGGGTGCTTTGGCATAAGCTCCGGCTGCTGCCGCCAACACCACTGCGCATTTACGCGCTTTAACCAAGAGCCAATGTTCCCGCGCGTCCACCATGGGCCGGTCGATCAACACTGCACCACCTGGCGTGGAGAAACCGTGCAAACTAAAAAACGGGGCGAACCCTGGCGCAAATGCCTACCCTGATCGACGGTAAGCAGAGAAGACAGGACGACAGAGAGAGCGTCAACGACCATCGCCAGCACCGACACCGCCCACCAAGGGTCCAATATACGGAGCAGACCACGACAAGACATGAAAAACGGCATTTTCTGGCCTGCCTTTCGTCTCCCATTCGGGATGCCCGGACTCTTGGGAGGTGGCCGGCCCACAAATTTGTGAGATGAAGCAGTGCAACGTGTTCGTCCTCAGTTACTGGGTAATCGGCGAAGTGTACGAATTATTGTCCTGGGCTTCAATATACAACTGCTGCACAGACGAACATCAAAAAATGGGCGTTTCTCAGCTCACGGAGTCCCGATGAAATAAGCCCCGCAAACGCCAAACGAAGGAAGCAAAAGAGCAAAATATCGACGAAGCATTACGAGATAACGGTATCATATTTACTCAGCTACGCTATACGGGACCGACAGCTTGAAAGAATCCTGCGGTTGTGATTGTGCATTCGCTTACAAGCGTTATCATCTGGCGTGCTGCACTTCTGCACATCAACAATCCTCCGTGACAGCGGTAGGTTACCGATGCTATGCGCTGCACGCCCACCCATACGCTTGCCACTCTTTGGGACACGGATAGTCGACGCAACAGAGTGTACTTGACAGTTGAGGAGAGTTCTCTATGACGACAGGTGGACACACAGATGTCGCTATAAGGCAACTTAAAAACGACAAAGAAAAATGACATATGGAGAAAGATTGGAATAATGGGCTAGGAAGACCCAAAACATAGAGGGGCCAGACGTCTAAAGCGGTTTCGGTGGCGGTCTCTTCTCACACACCTCGGGAACCCACATTCCGAGTAAGAAGTGCAGCCATAGGTAGAAGCTCAAGAACGACACCAAGGCACAAGCCACAGGACTGGCTAGAAGCTGACGCGAGCTAGATAGACGGTGTGAGAGTGCCGCGATATCTAACGACGAGAGAACGAGAACATCTTGGAGATGCACACCGTTTTTTGACTGCACGGCACCAGCTGCTATTCTTGTCACTTCTGCGCGCTTCACGCAAGATGCTAAGCCCAACCGGCTGCCCGAGTCCGTCCTCGAGGCTGTGCCTGTTCGACAGTCCATAACACAAGAAGCGGACAATCGATGGGCTGATGGCTGCGCCCCTTGTTCCATCCGTCGTTGCACTTTGCTCTTTTACATCCTGTGGCCTGGACCATACACCCAGGTTTGGCTCCCGTCCATTCTTCGAGCTTCACACCACTCGAGGAAAGAAAACGATGCCTCAGAACACGGTCGCAATTGTAGACCGCTTGCCGATCCCTTTGCCCCGAGAATTATTTCCCCTGGTCACCAAAACCGTCGCTGTCTTGGGTGCGGTAATGGTTTCCCGCATGCATCTCGGCAGGCATTGCCTTTGCTGACGGCATATGTAAGTGAGGACATAAGCTTCGGGTTCTTTGAACTCTTTTTCTTTTACATGTTATGTTTTTTTTTCTTGCTCCATAATCTTCACTTTGATGCACGCCCTTTGCTTTGGTAAGTGCATGTTCTGTGTTTTCGTTTGCGTACGACATTCGAATATAGATTTTGGAATGTACGTGCTCACCTGTCGAAGTGATTCAGCGCGCAAAGACGACGGAGATCTACGATACGGGGGGCAAAATTCCACGGCTCAGACAAACCGACCAGAAGCCCACGACCTGCCCAGTCCATTTACATTCCGATTTCAAAGGAAAGCTCAACCGAGCTTATCAACAGGCCAACGTTTCAATGTGAAAAGTCGACATATCTTTCCTCCATATGAAGAAAAAAACAGATGATGGTAAATGTACCGAAAAGTGGAGCAAACGCTCACCTGTCCCAGAATGGAGGGCTCGACTTTCGGTTGAAAGGACGCCTCAACTCGACGGCCAATTGCTCACACATACAAGGCGACAAGTGACAGGGAGGAACGGCAGAACAGTTCCTCCTTGTCAGCAAAGGCGTGATTAATCGACCTATCATGTCACAGTCACTTGTGGTGACGGATTCGCTTCTCTCCCGGCCGCGTCGTGTGAGGCATCATCAGTTCGCTGAATGCGTCGCCGGCGACCCTTTATTTGGAAATTTTCGTTTGGAGTCCGGCGGCAGGCGAATCACCCATTTGGGACCGTTTTCGTTGCAAGAAATACCGGCCGCGGCAGGCCATGTGGCTCGCATCCAAGACAAGAGCGCCAGAGAGCATAAAGAAGAGTCAATAAGACCTCAGCAAGAAAAGACAGATAAAAGAACACTCACACCAAAACGTGCGCAGGAACAGGCCGTGGAATCAGAAAGCCTGGCATATCGGCGGCTAAAGTGCTGCCATTGGCTATTATGGTGGTCGCCTCATCTTGTCTACTCTGAAGCCATTGTCTTGCGCTGTGGGAGCTCATTTCGCTACATATGGGGAACTCCGGTGCCTACGGACAAAGAGATCTCCCGCACCCCTCCCCCCATCCGCACGCGGAGCAGTTCCCTCTCCTGCCTGTATCGGCTTGTCGGATATGGGTGTTTTTTTTATGTTCACTCTTTTGAGTTTTGTTCTGCCGCACGTCGTACTTCGTACCCCTTTGTTCACGTCTTCTCCGTTTGCTGTCTTTTTATTACCAATCTTTGTTTTCCTATTCCGTACATGTTGTATGACACGAAGGCACAAAAGCGTATCCCTGCAATTCTTTCCACTTTTGCACTTGTCTTCCTTCCCTGTGTCGTATCTGTTTTCGAACTCGTTCCCGATATCTCGCTCATCACAAGTTTGGGTACTGGTCCACAATTTTACGTTCTCTGCAAGTCCCACATTGTTGTCGAGATCCTGCTGATGCTGACACTTCTGTAAGTGGTTTTCGATCGTTTGAGCGGACCTCTTACACCGTCGCTTATATGCCAGGACAAAAAACTCTGACTTCAATCTTCAATACCCCATCGACTGCTCGTCTTCAGGTGTATGGTTTACACTGGTCGTTTGTCCTCCGTGCTAGTGCATAGTTGCGAGGCAATTCCACGCGTTGAAGCCTGCGGAACACAGACTCCGTGATCTCGTATGCCACCCACTCTTTGCCTTTCTATTTATTTTCGTTGTCCTTTTTAGGTGCTGTTTCTTTTTATACCCTTTCTCTTCGTTTCCGTCTCTCTGGTGGCTGCAATTCTAAGCCAGTCTTGGCTTGCAGACTTCCTCGGCCCTTCTGAGCACAGTTCCAATAATTGTCGCCAAAGATGGCAACAAGTGTTACGTGCTCGTAAAGGAAGTGAGTGAAAGATGGGAAGATACAGCAAAGGGCACTGTGTATCGACTTATCGTCGATTTTGTTGCGAAACATCGATCATTCCCGTGGAATTGAAAGCCGGGATGACCGCAAAAATAACTGCAGAGCATACATGCCATACAGCATGGTTCACATCACGGGTCACATCATGGGTTGTATGGTACAGCCGTTGACATTGGAGACACAGACACCCTTTGCTTTCATCCTTTTGTGTCTGAAGATTTTTCTAGATCCTAAAGAAATTTATCTCGTTTTATTCAGGACAAACCGTACCATTTGCAAGCTACACGCCCCGAATGCAAAAGGCAAACGCTTTCAAGGGAAGAAATGCCATGTCCTCCTGGTGTACCACGGGCCCAAGGATACAATCCGTCAGGAAAAAGGAAACAGTCTACATTTACCTGGTTAAATTGCCACTTCTTCAACGAAAATCCCAAGTGGCGGCTGTATCTCTATTTGGTCGTTTGCTGCACCAGTTTTATTTCAGTGCCATTTTATGTATTTGATGTTGCGCCTGTCTCCATGCTTCGCTAACACAGGCCCTCGCCTAATGCGGCAAGCATGAGGACATCATTCATGAGCTTCGGTCACCGAAGAAAAAAAAAACACCTGGCCCGGACTGCGATCAACCGGCAAAATGGTTTTGTGGGATGTGTGATGTCTGTCTGAGGAGGATCAGTGTTTTCTGAACGCCTTGTGTCTTTGTAAACACGCCCCCATTCACCTTTATTCACACCCCTTGCCCTCACCCACCCGCACTGGTGCAGTGTACTATGCGGGCAGACGAGCAGGGATGGATCCCAGATTCCGTGTTATTGAGATTATTTACTCGCACATACGGAGGGGGGGTATAGTTGAAAATACGAGCCGAGCACAGGAAAGACGCATCCATAGACCGCAAAAAGCTAGAAAACGAAAGAGGAGAGAGAGGTATCCCAGACAGGCGGCCGAGGCGCCTTGCTTACTGACCCGAGAGACAACTTGAGTGAATTCAGGAAGCGACAGGAGAGACGAAATAAAAATAACAAAGGGAAAGAAGGGAAAATAGCAAAAATACAGCAAGCAACTATGGCCATCCTTGTCGAGGGTGGCTGGCCTGGTATTTCGTGCGTTCTCCACCAGGAGGGAACCGCTTTACATTCGGCTTCCCAATATCGCCTTCCCTGCGCTCGAGCAATTTCATATATAAGACCGCCAGGATGGCTCGCCGTCTCTCATAAAGATTGTTATGAACTCTTATTTTCTTTTTCCTTTATCTAGACCTCAACCCTTCCCTTCTTTTCTTCCGTACAGCCTAGACTTGTCTTGACTCTTTTTGTTGTTGGCCAAGAGTACGAGAGAGAGAGAGAGAGCGTGTGCATTCGTTTGCAGTCTTTCGTTGCTTCCCTTTGCGTCTTCACTCCAGTCTGTCATTTGTGCGAACTTCAATCGATTTCCAGCAACGAGCTCGACCTTCACTGCACACACATCTTGCAGGACCAGAAGCACATGTCGACGCGCTGAGAGCTTTCCACAAACAACCATGGCTGACAGGCTGGCATTTCTCCTCTTTGGAGACCAGTCCCTCGACACCTACGACTTTCTCTCGGGCTTCTACCGCGAGGGCCATCAAGGCATTCTTGCCACTGCCTTTCTCAACCAAGCCGGCGAGGCTCTCTGGCGTGAAATCGAGGGTCTCGGCCGGCTCGAGCGTGCCAAGCTGCCGCTGTTTAGGACACTACAGCAGCTGAACGAGCGATACCATGCCCAAGACCTGAAGCACCCGGCCGTGGACGGCGCCCTGCTGTGCATTACACAGCTGGTGCACTACATTGAGTATGTCCTGCCACGTTCATGATTTTGTCTACGTCCGGTCGTCGACTAACAAAACAGCCATGCCGAGAAACATTGGGAAGATGTCACCCAGCACGAGCACACCTACCTAGTCGGCCTGTGCTCCGGCCTTTTTGCGGCGGCCGCCATCGCCTCTACGCCATCACTCTCTGCCCTGGTCCCCGTCGCCGTGCAGGCCGTCCTGATGTCGTTCCGCACAGGTTTGTACGTCGCCACCCTTGCGGACCGGCTCTGCCCGCCCTCGGAGAAGTCCGAGAGCTGGACGTACGTCTACCCGAACCAGCAAGAAGAAGACATTCGCCGTGTTCTCTCCGAGTTTTGCCGTTCGAACGTGAGTATACCGGTGCCTCCTCGTCTGCATGGAATGCACGATTGTGAAAAATGCCATTGTACTAAGCTCTTCCAGTCCATTCCCCCGGCAGCCACTGGCTACATTAGCGCCGTTTCCTCCGGCAACGTGGCCGTGTCAGGGCCACCGACGACGCTGAAGGCACTGACTGCCTCCGGACAGCTGGGCCGCTCGGCGCCCATCCCCGTGCACGGGCCGTATCACGCGTCACATCTTCACGCGGACGCAGACGCCCGGAAGATCCTCCGTCTGGACGACGCCAGCGTGGCGGACGCGCTTTTCAAGACGAAGCCGCGGTCCGCCGTCATGTCGTGTGCGACGGGCACATGGCTCCGCGAAACTACCACAGAGGCGCTGTTCGAGTCCGTCGTGTACGAGATCCTGAACGAGCCGCTGCGGTTCCACCGTGTCCTGGATGGCTGTCTCGACCTGGCCCGCGACTACCCCCGCGGCGACTGTGTCGTGATTCCCTTCGGCCCCACGCAGAGCGCGAAAACGCTTGCCAGCCTGCTGCGCGCCAAGACAGAGCTCACGGTGACGCTCCGTCCGTCGCCCGAGTTTTCATCCAGTGCCAACGGCATCACGACCCAGCCGTCCCAGATCGGCAACCACGGCCCCTCCGGCCGAGGCAAGCTGGCCATTGTGGGCATGGCCGGCCGCTTCCCCGACGCCGCCAGTCACGAGAAGCTGTGGGAGCTGCTGGCCAAGGGCCTCGACGTGCACCGCGTCGTGCCCGCCGACCGCTTCCCCGCGGCCACGCATGTGGACCCCACCGGCAAAGCCATCAACACGAGCCATACGCCGTACGGCTGCTGGATCGAGAACCCGGGCTTCTTCGACCCGCGCTTCTTCAACATGTCGCCCCGCGAGGCTCTGCAGACAGACCCCATGCAGCGCATGGCCATCGCCACGGCGTTTGAAGCGCTGGAAATGTCGGGCTACGTGCCCAACCGCACGCCCTCCACGCGCCTCGACCGCATCGGCACCTTTTACGGCCAGACATCGGACGACTGGCGCGAAATCAATGCGGCGCAGGAGGTCGACACGTACTTTATCACGGGCGGCGTGCGGGCTTTCGGGCCGGGCCGCATCAACTACCACTTCGGGTTCAGCGGCCCCAGCCTCAACATTGACACGGCGTGCTCGTCCAGTGCCGCCGCGATGAATGTGGCGTGCACGGCGCTGTGGTCGCGCGACTGCGACACGGCCATTGTCGGCGGGCTGTCGTGCATGACCAACTCGGACATTTTTGCCGGGCTGAGCCGGGGCCAGTTCCTGTCCAAGAAGGGCCCTTGCGCCACCTTTGACGACGGCGCCGACGGCTACTGCCGCGGTGACGGCTGCGCGTCGGTCATTGTCAAGCGCCTCGAGGACGCCGAGGCCGACGGCGACAACATCCTGGCCGTCATCCTGGGCACGGCGACCAACCACTCGGCCGACGCCATTTCCATCACGCACCCGCACGGCCCCACGCAGTCGATTCTGTCGTCGGCGATCCTCGACGAGGCCGGCGTCGACCCGCTCGACGTGGACTACGTCGAGATGCACGGCACGGGCACGCAGGCCGGCGACGGTACCGAGATGCTGTCGGTCACCAACGTCTTTGCCCCGGCGCACCGCAAGCGACCGGCCGACCGGCCGCTCTACTTGGGCGCCGTCAAGGCCAACGTGGGCCACGGCGAGGCGGCCTCGGGCGTGACGGCGCTGGTCAAGGTGCTGCTGATGCTGCAGAAGAACCAGATTCCGCCGCACGTCGGCATCAAGCAGGAAATCAACAAGGGCTTCCCCAAGGACCTGTCCGAGCGCAACGTTAACATTGCCTTCCACATGACGCCCTTCCGCCGCACCGACGGCAAGCCCCGCCGCGTGTTCATCAACAACTTCAGCGCCGCCGGGGGCAACACGGGCCTTCTGCTCGAAGACGCGCCGCGCCGCGCACCAGCAACGGCCGACCCGCGCAGCATGCACGTCATCACCGTGACGGGCAAGTCCAAGTCGGCCATGATCCACAACGCAGAGCGTCTTGTCGCCTGGATCGATGCGCACCCGGACACGCCGGTGGCCGACGTCGCCTACACCACGACGGCGCGCCGCATCCAGCACTACTGGCGCATGAACGTGACGGCGGCCGACCTGCCCGAGGCCAAGCAGGCGCTCCAGGCGCGCCTGCAGGGCAGCTTCGTGCCCGTGCTGCCCGAGCCGCCCAAGGTGGCCTTCATGTTCACCGGGCAGGGCTCGCACTACGCCGGCCTCGGCCAGGAGCTGTATGCGCACGCCGCCGTGTTCCGCGACAGCATCGACGAGTTCGACCAGATTGCCAAGATCCACGGCTTCCCCTCGTTCTTGCCGCTCATCGACGGCAGCGCGTCGGACGTCACGACGCTGAGCCCCGTTGTGGTGCAGCTGGGCCTGGCGTGCTTCGAAATGGCCCTGGCGCGTCTCTGGATCTCGTGGGGCATCCAGCCCGCGGCCGTTCTGGGCCACAGCCTCGGCGAGTACGCCGCGCTCAACGTGGCCGGCGTGCTCTCGGCCAGCGACACTATCTACCTGGTCGGCGCGCGCGCGCGCCTGCTCGTGGACAAGTGCACGGCCGGCACGCATACGATGCTGGCGGTGCAGGGCTCTCTGTCGACGGTGATGGACGCGCTCGGCGAAGCGCGTGCGGCTGCGGTGAACGTGGCCTGCATCAACGGCCCCCGCGAGACGGTGCTGAGCGGCGACGCCGCCGAGATGGCCGAGTGCGCGCAGCACCTGGGCGCGACGGGCGGGTTCAAGTGCACGCAGCTGAAGGTGCCCTTTGCGTTCCACTCGGCGCAGGTCGACCCGATCCTGGACGACTTTGAGACGCTGGCGCGCGCCGTCACCTTCCAGCGGCCCACGGTGCCCATCGTGTCGCCGCTGCTCGGCCGCCTGATCGCGGCGGGCGACCGCGACGGCGTGCCGCCGGTGGACGCGGCCTACCTTCGCAACCATGCCCGCGAGGCCGTCAACTTCCTGGGCGGCCTTGTGTCGGCGCAGCAGTCTGGCGCTATTGACGAGAAGACTGTGTGGCTCGAGGTGGGCCCGCACCCGGTGTGCGCCAACATGGTCAAGGCGGCGTTTGGCGCGACCACGATTGCGGTGCCGACGCTGCGCCGCAACGAGGCGACGTACAAGACGCTGAGCGCGAGCCTGTGCACGCTGCACTCGGCAGGCCTCAACCTCGACTGGAACGAGATGCACGGCGACTTCCGCGCGTCGACGCGGCTGCTGGACCTGCCCTCGTACGCCTTTGACAACAAGAACTACTGGCTGCAGTACGAGGGTGACTGGTCGCTCATCAAGAACCGCTTTGCGACGATGCTGCCGGGGACGTCCACCGCGGCCGTCGAGCCGCCCAAGCCCACGCTGTCAACGTCCAGCGTGCACAAGGTGGTGCGCGAAGAGGTCGACGGCAGCACGGTGACGCTCGAGACGGAGTCGGACATGTGCCGCGCCGACATGCGCCTGGCGCTCGAGGGCCATCTGGTCAACAACACGCCGCTGTGCCCGTCGACGCTGTACGCCGATATGGCCATGACCATTGGCGACTACATGTACCGGCTGGCCAAGCCGGAGCGCGACGCCAAGGACCGCGTGCCGACCAACATTGCCGACATGGAGGTGAGCAAGACGCTCATCTTTGACGACAGCACCGGCAGCCACATCCTGCGCGTGTCGGCGACGGCGCACGTCGACAAGGGCTATGCGACGCTCCGCTTCCACACGGGCGAGGGCGCCAAGACGACAGAGCACGCCACGTGCAAGGTGCTCTACGGCGACGCGACGCAATGGTCCAACGAGTTTGAGCGGGTCAACTACCTGATCCGCGGGCGCATCGACGCGCTCCAGCGCGCCGAGGAGGCGGGCACGGCCAGCAAGATCGGCCGCGGCATCGCCTACAAGCTGTTCACGGCGCTCGTCGACTACGCGCCGCGCTACCGCGGCATGGACGAGGTGATCCTGGACAGCGCCACATGCGAGGCCACGGCGACGGTGCGCTTCCAGACGTCCGAGGCGGACGGCCGCTACTTTTTCAACCCCTTCTGGATCGACAGCATGTGCCACATCTCGGGCTTCATTGTCAATGCCACCGACGCCGTGGACTCGCGTGAGCAGGTCTACATCTCGCACGGCTGGGGCTCGCTGCGCTTCGTGGAGACGCCCGACGCGGCCAAGACGTACCGCAGCTACATCCGCATGCAGCCCGTCAAGGGCACCACCATGTTCTCGGGCGACGCCTACGTCTTTGACGGCGACCGCATCATTGGCGTCTGCGGCGACGTGCGCTTTGCGGCGATTCCGCGCAAGGTGCTCAACCTGGTGCTGCCGCCGCGGGGTGTTGCTGGTGCCGGTGCTGGTGCTGCTGCTGCTGCTCCTGCTCGCAAGGCCCTGGCTGCGGCACCGGCTACGGCACCGACTGCCGCTGCTACCGCCACCGCTCCGGCCAAGGCCAAGAACACCAAGGTGGTCACGCACGCCAACATTGGCAAGGTCAACCAGAAGCTCACGTCGGTCGTCACCAAGGTGTTTGACATTCTGGCCAAGGAGATTGGCGTGTCCCACGACGAGCTGGTCGACAACGTGGCCTTTGGCGACCTGGGCGTCGACTCGCTCATGTCTCTGACCGTCAGCGGCCGCATCCGCGAGGAGCTGGACGTCGACCTGCACTCCAACGCCTTTGTCGACTACCCGACCATTGGCGCCTTCAAGACGTATCTGGCGCAGTTTGAGACGGCCCACACGAACGCCACCACGCCCGGCGCCTCCTCGCTCGAGGACTCGGGCATTTCGAGCTCCGACTCCGAGACGGACGGCATGAAGTCGGACTCGGAGGTCACGACGCCCATGGAGGAGAGCGAGAGCGGCTCCGTCAAGGACGCCGGCGAGTGTGCGGCGGCAGGAAGCGACGTCTCGGCGCTGCAAAAGGCCGTGCGCGAGACCATTGCCGAGGAGATGCAGGTCGACGTCGACGAAATCATTGCCGCGCCGGACCTGGCCAACTTGGGCATGGACTCGCTGATGAGCCTCCAGATCCTGGGCACGCTGCGCGAGAGGACGGGGCTAAACATCCCCTCCGACCTGTTTGTGTCGAACCCGTCGCTCAAGTCCATTGAGCGCTCCCTGGGCATCAAGGCCCCCCCGCCCGCCGCCGCCGCCACGGGCGTCCAAGCCCGTCGTGGCGGCGCGTGCTCCGCTCCCTGCCGCGCCCGCGCCTGTTCCCGTTGCCACTGGCCAAGAGGTCCGCTTGGAGCCGGCCGATCCCATTGAGAAGCTGCCGCGGCCCGCCACGATTGTCGACCACTACCCGCACCGCAAAGCCACGTCCGTCCTGCTCCAGGGCAGCCACCGCACGGCGACGCACAACATGTTCATGATCCCCGACGGCAGCGGCAGCGCCACGTCCTACACGGAGATCTCGGACATTGGCCCCGACTGGGCCGTCTGGGGCCTCTTCTCGCCGTTTTTGAAGACGCCCGAGGAGTATAAGTGCGGCGTCTACGGCGTGGCGACCAAGTTCATCACGGAGATGAAGCGCCGCCAGCCGGCCGGGCCCTACAACCTGGCCGGCTGGTCGGCCGGCGGCATCATTGCCTTTGAGATGGCCAACCAGCTGATCAAGGCGGGCGAGGCCGTCGACAACCTAGTCCTCATCGACTCGCCGTCCCCCGACACCATTGAGCCGCTGCCCAAGGGCCTGCACGCGTGGTTCGCGTCCATCGGGCTGCTGGGCGACGGCGACCCGAGCTCGGTCCCCGCGTGGCTGCTCCCGCACTTTGCCGCGACCGTCACGGCGCTGTCCAACTACACGGCCGAGCCGCTGCCCGCAGCCCACTGCCCCAAGGTCACCATCATCTGGTGCGAGGACGGCGTGTGCCACCTGCCGACGGACCCGCGCCCGCAGCCGTACCCCTCGGGCCACGCCCTGTTCCTGCTGGAGAACCGCACGGACTTTGGCCCCAACCTCTGGGATGCCTACCTGGATCCGCGCAAGATGCTCATCCGCCACATGCCGGGCCACCACTTTTCCATTATCCACGGCGACCAAGTAAGTGCAGTGTCCTTGTTCTGTCCCCTCGTGGTCTTGATTCCCCGTCACTAACCAACCATCACAGGCAAAGCAGCTGGGTGCATTTATGCGCGAGGGCCTTGGTGTGTAAGAATGGGCATACATTGCGACACTTGGAGAGAAAGCATGGTATCTCGTATGTTTAGTCCCTCGTTTTTTGATTGTTTTACTGTTTACTGTTCTTTTTTTTTTTTTGGTTTTGTTTTCTTTTATTTTTCGTATTGGTACAATCGTGGAGGAACTGTTCTCTCTTTCATCTGGATTTGGAGTTTCGCTTGTTCATTGATTTTCTCCCGTTTTGATCTTCATTTCCGCATACAGACTTGTATTTCGTTTTGTCTTCTGCTTTTTTTTGTATTTGCATTTGGCTCATCGTCAAGCCGTCGCCTCTGACAGCACCTTTGTTACATTCATTATATTTTTCTAATATTTCGTTTTGTCTACGTTTCACGTCTTCGTTACCATCATTCAAATTTTTGTTTGTTTAGTAGAGCTCAAAGATTGATACACAGAATGCAGAAACATGAATAAAAAGCTTTAAAATAACGTTACTGAGAGGAGATAAGTAAGGCTGTAAACCTGGACCGCGGTCGTTGCAAAACTGTACATGGGTTCGTTTCTTTCTTTATTTTATTTTATTTTATTATTTTATTTTATTTTATTCTTTACAAAGAGGGTGGAAGCACATACACCCTACACTGTCATCTGAGCTACATACTTTTTGTCCGCGTTTCTACGTGACGAAAGCAGAAACGTACATCCTACGATGGAGTGAAGACGTGTTATGGGGCCGAAACATGAAAATAGTAGATTTGACGGACATTCTCTTTAACACATTTCCTCCCTCATGCAAGGACAACAGAAAGAAGAAGAAACAACGGAAGTCCGTGCTTTCATCGACCTTATCTTTTGCGAGAATCCGCTGCATGTGCATATTCTGGATACAACCGCCCGTATTGTAGCCTGCAGTGTCCAGAGTAAATGCGGCTCGAGCAGGAGTGCAAGTCGGAGGGCGAAAAAAAAAAAAAAACTACCTCACGCATTCTCATCATTGACCAATTACAGTATACTGAGACCACTCCTCGATTTGTGAGTTTCGTCTATGGTTTTGTCACGGTTGTCAACGCCCAGCTTTTCAGCCTTTACGATTTCGCCGACTCGCTGCCGAGACGGTCAACCACTTTAACCAAACAATCGAGCCCAGTCATCTTCGTCGTTTTTACCAGACATATTTCCCATGAACCTTAATACTAGTTTCAAACTCGCCCACCCACTGTTCTCGTCTCACCTTTATTCCCTTCCATTTGTTCAGTTGGCGCTGTCCAGTTTTTTCTCGGCCAATGGTTGGGAGACGGCTGTATCGGGAGATTTCGCAAGGAAATATAAAGTGGGCAAAATAAAAGCACGCGTCAAGTGGCGCCTTTTAGCAAGTCTTTATTCATCTAAAAAAAAGCAATTCCCAGAAAGCCCCCAAGTTTGGATGCCCTTATTTGGAAGAATCGAGCTCTCGCATGTCATATCTTTGTCATCGTGGTGTAATTATAGCGGGACTGGTCATCACCGCACGCCACCACATCGTCCCTTTTAATCGTGTCCAACTGTCAAAGTTGCCCTCGTCGATGCTCGACAGTGTGAGGTCACCCCTGTCTACCGGCGTCATCTGCGGCCTCCCGAGGGCACCAGCATTGAAACTCTGGGGAAAGTCCGACACAATCTGCTTGCACAATATGGCCAACGGCAGCAGAGCACTGTCGACTATCAATGGAAACGGAAAATGAACATTGAAATAGAAGATGTACTTGACTGTCAAAGAACTGCTGCCCTGTCTCTCGCGTGGCCACCCGCCCACTTGCCATTCTCCCCGTCCCACCTCCCGACCAGCCTGGATGTGCCTCTCTTCACAAACATCATGGCGCCTTGTATATGCAAAATGTCGGCGCATACGCGTCCCATGTACAATCTTTGTTTCCCGTCCCTACTCACAAGCCATCTTGCCCGACTCGACGGAACTGTTTTATATTCACCATAGACCAGGCTATCATTGTGCCATGTGACTGGTCGTAATTCGAGTACGGGTTGTGCGCAAGTTATTGCCAAACAAAACATACTGCCGCAGCATGACCCAGTTTGCCTATTTTGCTCATTTCGGTAAGGATTTGCATCCATATTTCTCACCGACCCCACGTGTTTTACTTGTTCTGCCCACTTTCTAGACTCTTCGTTCACTTTGTTTGTACAGCGCAGCAGAAAAGAAATATGTACTTGAGATGAAGGAATATGGCCGTTTAGTGTCGTGTTAAATCAAACGCCTAGGAAATAGACAGACTATGCTCCAAAATTATTGAAGAATTTTTTTAAATCCTGGCTTGACTATCCAGGCTCGGTTGAACCAGTTCATGGCATACTTGTAGCATTACTGTGGTATGACGGAAGCTATCTCATTCGTCAAGAACGCTCACCTTATCTCTGTGTCCTCACAAGGACTGTCACTACTACGGAAGCCTCCGAATCGACTACGACACTCGGAGGAAAAGAAGGCGGGTGAGGCTGACCAGAGGCCAAATAGCCCAAGCACCGTACCATGGTTACACAGGGGAGATCTGCAGTGCCGTACCAGGAAAGACTCTGGTATTGATGGTCGTCATACGGCAACACATCATATTCTCTCCACAGTATGATGTACTCATGTACCTCTTCGTCAAGATTGAGAAAGTCTTGATAATGAACGCCACGAGAAATGCAAACGATAATTGTGTAAGCCAAAGCCTACCGCCACGCATGCAAAGCAGACTCCTACCAAAGATGCACACGTACACATCCAAGCAGTGGATTGCTAAACGAAATGCGCTGGCTTACGACGATTTCCAGTTTTGGCGGAAAAGCGTGTCACGACGCAAAGTACGAGCAGAAGCTTGGGGGCATCCCAGCAGACCACTCCAAGATTCTTTGAAACTGAAAAAAAAAAAAAAAAAAATAGCAGCACAGCTGTCCAAAAGCTGCGCACAAGTAAGCACAAGCACGCCTCGCGCATGCATCGATAACTGCAGAATCCTGTTATCCCTGCTGCTGTCGTAGGCGGCGAAATGACCATTGCTCTCGGGATCAGCCATGACGAGCCGTTTCGGATGTCGGATGTGAGTTGCATACAAAGAGGCCATGACGAAACAGAACTGCTTCTCAGGGATGGATGGAGAGTGCGAGAACAGAAGACAACGTAGGCTGCCTACGCTCCTGTATCCTGTTTAATGGCCAAGTTTTGCGCGTTACGCATGCTTTTGCTTTGCGCCTTAATTCTGCGCCTCTCTGTCTCTTTGCTGATCCCCTCCGACCAAGAAAATTATGTGCCACGTTTCTCGACCATGAAATGCATCCATCCACAAGCCTCCTTTCTACTTCGTTTCTTGCTGTTATCGTCCATGTGTGGCAACGACTGATAGAAGCTCGTATGTACGCCTTCTGGCCCTACGTCTTTCCGTCCCCAAGGCTCTATCTTGCCCCACGACAGTTGTTGCCATCAAACACCGAGCCTCATAGCCGTCCCCAGTACCAGGCACACCAGATTTTGAATTCGTCCTTCACCGTTTACCCATATGATCTTTACCCTGCAGTCCGCTCGTTTCCCCCACTTTCAAACTCCATATATCCCCTGTCCGTGCTATCGTATGCTTCGTCGTTGGCCCCCTGGCCCTCCTCTCGCTCGTTTTATCTCTCTTTCCCTTTAAAAGTTCATTCCTTCCCTTCTGCCCCCTGTCAGTACCCACGCAACGAGCGGCGAATGAATAAATTGGCAAATGAAAAGCTTGTTCCGAGTAGCCTCTCATCTTGTATTATTGGCATTGTTCCCATTACCACGCTACCATTCTCATGTCCGCCGTATCCAAACATCGCCAGCCCCGGCTGCGGGCATCGTGCGATGGCTGCTTCCTCGCCAAGGTCAAATGCTCCAAGGCACGGCCGATCTGCTCGCGCTGTCTTGCCTGCGGCATCGAGTGCCGCTACTCGCCGTCGAGCCGGGCCGGCAAACCCAAGGCGGACCACTCCAACAACCACAGCAGCAACAGCAGCAGCAATATCAGGAATCCCAACAGCAGCAATCACCACCACCACACCGCGCCGATCCCGCACGACATGTTGGCCGTCGCTGCCGGCTTCTCACCGTCCTACCGACTCAATACGGGCTGGCCGCCAACGGCCGGGATGGACATCGCCGCAGGACATGGCATCGCGCGTCATCCTTCCATCTCGTCCGAGCTGGCCTTGCTCGCCATGGACGAGAATGCGTCTGCTACTGCCATGGCCGCAGCAGCGGGCGGGGCGGTGCCTTGGTCCACGCCGCCGACAGACTTCCAGTTCGCACAGTTTTCTGGCTCGCCCATCAGCGGCGTGCCGATGCACGCGGCCGTCCATGCCGACATGGCCGTGGCCCCGTCCGCGGCGGCCAGTGGCATGTCGTGGATGGACCCGGCCGTGATGGACATGTTTCAGGGCCCGCCCCAACCATACTCACAACATGTACAGCATGTACAGCATGCACGACCACAGCCGCTGCCGCCATCGCACTCTCACCTGCAACAGCAGCAACAGCAGCAACAGCAGGTGCCTACACCGGGCAGCATCGCCTCGTCGTCGGCCAACAACTACTTTCCGAGCCCGTCCACGACACCCAGCCTACACCAGAGTCCAGCGGCCGGCCACAGGTCTGTGTCTCTCCCTGGCAGCGGTAGCGGCAGTGGGATCAGTGGCGTCGGCTACCTCGGCAACTCGCCCGCCTCTGCCGCCTCTCCCCCCTGTGTCTGCTTTACGGCCTGCCTGTACGCCCTCCAGGCCTTGCACAACGCCTCGACGCCCACAGCACCGCCCTTTGATGTCGTCTTGGCGCTCAACCGCAACGCCGTCGAGGGCTGTGCCGCCCTGCTGGCCTGTGCCCACTGCATGCGCCGGTCCGGCACGCACACGGCCGCCATGCTGCTGGCGACGCTGCTGGGGAAGATTACGTCGTTTTACAAGACGGCGTCGCCGTCGCACTTTCGGCCACATTCAACAGAAGCAGCAGCAGCAGCATCAGCGACAGCAGCAGCAACAGTAGCCGCCGCAGGCATGGGCGACAGACATCAAAACAATCAAAATCACAGCGTTGACGCCGTCGATTCTTTGGCCGCGGGCGCTGTGGACGATACCACAGCGTCGTCGGTGTCTGCACTGCCTGTCCACGCCGACCACTCTTCGCCCACGAGCAACACCGCCGGTATTCCGTTTCCTGCTGCCGGTTATGGTCATAGTCATGGCCTTGGCCTCGGCGTCAGTCTAGGAGCATACCAGCTCCAGGGCGAAGACGGTCGCTGGCTGGAGCTCGAGATACTCAACCGCGAGCTTAAGAAGCTCGAAGAAGTCTACACGCGGTTCCACGAGGTGTGCGGCGACTTGCTCTTTGAAGACGTGGCCGTGTCCAAGGCCATGTTCGGTTACCTGGGCCAAAACCTGGGCGCGGCCCTGGAGCTGGTGAACCACCGCAAAGACAGCCTGCCGTTTGCGTAGACGTGGAACAGGCAATAGTCATATCCCACACTCACTATGACGTTGTTCTCTACGTTTTTTTCTTGTTCTTTTCTTTTACTCGATTCTAAGACCTAATTCTTCTCTTATTTACGGGACATTGTCTCAGTTTGGAATTTCTTCCATCTGTTTTGTTTCATTTGGTCATACATTTATCATCATAGCATATGGCTCGGCGTTGAGTACGGTTTACCTGGTACCTTCTCTTCATTACACAACCAGCAAATTCTAATAGCATTGCACATTAGCTGTACATTTCATTGCAAATGGCCTCTATACTTTCCTACTACTTACCGTACTCTACCCTTACATGGATATGATGTGCATTTCCACAGTCCGTCACCTCGGACAAGCGGGTGACGATACGTAAGCCAACAAGCCAACATCAGACATTGAAAGTGCTACACCAAGCATCGTGGGAACACAGTCCTGCTGCTGTTCAACACAACCGTGGGTGGAGATGTCCGGAAACGTGCTGTTCGTTGGAATCACAGACATAAGTTGTAATGGTTGCAGATATACCGTTGCAGAGGATGCGGCTACGCCAAGGTAGAATGGTGTACTGAAAATAAAATAAAATAAAATAAAATGAAGAAAAAGCCCGATTCCTTTAGAGCCTGGCCTCTCCCATCGTACCCACTTGCCGTTCACAACATATAACAGAAGCACATTAGGGAGGGTCGCCAGGATATACAGGGCCGGGCCTGAGCTTTACGTTGCCCACCACTGCTTCCCCACGAGAACCTAAGCGTTCAAGTGCCCGTTTGGAGGTTCCGTGCTGGGGGCTGCTTTTGGCATGTCCAGATATATGTGCTTGGCGTGAGCCCGGACGCCTTTCTTGCGAATAAAGTAGATAGCTCATATCAAGCCGCTGGGACCGTGCTCCTTTGCTGCATTTATGACATGCGACAGCTGCGAGAGGAACAGACGCGAACAGCCAGAACAAAACAATGATCCAGGTTACCGGAAAAAGTCGACTTCATTGTCTCCCCCACAGTATGCAGTTTTGGCTTTATTTTGTTATCTGCGCACTGATCTGTCTGCACCCATCGATGCGCTGCGATATTGTGCTTAATTTGTACCCAATATATTCCACCGTCTCTGTACAGATAATGAGGACATGGCGGCCAATGCAGATGTCGGGCTGCCGTTGCAGTCCTTGGGTCAACGGAAAACGGGATGCTGGAAATGCTATTGAGAGCGTGCCTTCTGTCCACGGAAGCAAGACGGATGCACGCCATAACATCCAAACAAATACGAGGTCTTTCAATTTACCATGGACGGATGGACGGATGGAAGTGGCAAGTAAAAGTGTACTTATGTGACGGACTTGGTTTGCTCTGCACACCTGATAAATGTACTCCCTACAGCACTCATCGTCTAGGAATGTCATTTCCTGCCTGCGTGTGAGAGGTGGCAGAAAAAGTAATTTATTCCTATTTCGAATTCCCATTTTGATCTACGGAATCACTACCTACTTTCAGCCATACCGTTTCCCACCTTTTCCCACCTTTTCCCAGACCTCTGTCCAAGTGCTCGGTTACCTGCAGGCATGCTGTGTGCTTGTTCCGGTCTACACAGCAGAACCACCCGACAGCTTAATGACTTGGCCTACATTGATTGGGCAGATTAGTTTTTGAGCAATACGTACAGCTGACGCAGAGACAGGCAACTTACCGTTGATCCACTCGCCCTCCGGGCTGACCAGAAGCGCCACAGCCTTGCCAATGTCGGCCGGCGTGCCCACGCGCTTCAGCGGACAGGCCTTGGTGATGCCCGCGTCGATAATGTCCTGCGACATGCCCTTGTAGCCGCCCGGCACGTAGTGCCACGAGTTCTCGTCGTACATGTCCGTCTTGACGCCGCCGGGGGCAATCGCGTTGACGGTGACGCCCTTCTCGCCGCAGTCGACCGAAAAGGCGCGCGTGAAGCCCTCGACAGCGGCCTTGGACCCGGCGTACAGCGCGTGGTTCGGGATGCCCGTCAGCGACGCCGCCACCGACGACGTCAGGATGATGCTGCCGCCGGGGCGGCAATGCTTGAGCCCCTGCTGCGCCACAAAGAACTGGCCGCGGCAGTTGAGGTTGAACACCTTGTCAAAGAGCTCCTGGGTCACGTCCAGCTCCGACGACCACACCTCCATGCCCGAGTTGGACACGACAATGTCGATGCCGCCAAAGTGCGCCACGGCGCGGTCAAACAGCGACACGACCTCAGCCGGCTTGCTAATGTCTGCCTGCAGCGCCACGGCCTCGGTGCCGAGCGACTGCAGCTCCGCGACAACCTCCTCGGCGGCCGCGCTGCTGCTGCCGTAGTTGACGACAACGCTGGCGCCGCGGCGGCCGAGCTCAATGGCAATGCCCCGGCCAATACCGCGGCCGGCGCCAGTAATCACGGCCACCTTGCCGACAAAGGGGCGGGCGGCATCGGCAACAGTGTGAGTCATGTTGATGCTTTGTGGTGGGTGTGGTGTCAAAGTGGGGGCAGTCCGGAGAAAAGGGAATACTGGGCAGATGGAGTCTGGGCTTGCTGGATTGGAATGGGGGATCGTCGTCGTTGGGTTTCTGGACAACAAAAGGTGCATCTGCCCTATTGCACACCCAGCACACCGCGTCTCTTATACGTAGCAACGATTGGCAAACCGAATCTGAGAACGAGCACTTCCCCAACAGCGGCCTCGACGCTTGAAGTCCGAAAGGAACATCCGTCCTGGAGGCCGACACATAGTTGGGGAAGTTGGCAAGTTGGCAAGGGGGCAGCGAAGCTTTGACAGCCCAGCTATTGACAAGGAAGGCTGATAGGCTAATGCAGAAGCCGACAGCAAATTCCGGCATACAGGGGCCTCTTCTGAACAGCGAGATGCCTGCCTAGCATTTAACTAAGAGGGAACACCCGACACTGAAGCGTCTGTATTTGGCACTCCGGTATAGCAGAAATGAGTACCGTAGTGGCGTATAAGGCTCAAGTTGGCCTCAATAGAATATTCTGTCCGCTTTGAATAAACGACTGTCTGGACAGAGGTCCGAACCGCAGTTGCCTTTGTCGCCGCAACAGTCTGTATAGGCCAACTCTCTTGCCTCTCAAAGGAAATGGGCATGCTACATCTCTTCTCTTCGTTCATCTGCCCCGCCGTTTTTGGACAACATATAGCAAAGACTGTCCTGAAGGACTGTCGCAGGGACAAGGACATTGTGGAGGAGTTCCGGATGCGTAGACGGCGTAAATTGAGCGCTGAGTTTGCAGTCGTCTCCTGACCATTTCGTGTCTCATCTGCCTCGCCGCGTGTTGATTGTTTCCCCAACGGATGTCCGTGCCATCAAAATGCGGACGAAAGCGGGAGGAACACGACCCATCACCAATACACAAGATTCTCACCAGCATCAGAAAATGCGTGCCTCGAATGCCAGGCCGATGTTTTGCTAGGCCTGGAGATATTTTCGAACAACTGCAGCTCTTCACCAAGATCGTGAGATGCGGTCAACATGTCCATTCAACACGCAAGAAAAAAAAGTGGAGCATGGTGCGCTGTCGTATTTGATTGGCCGCACTTACACGACTCAGAGGCGCTAAGCCTAATACGGATGCTCCATATCGACGACATCGCAAGAATACGTGTGAAAATGCACGACTTGCCTTGCACTTCTATCGCCAAAGTGAGGCCCAAGTAGAGAAACAGGCTTTCAAAGCAGTAGTTTGATTTATATTGCACCGCCGGATGCAAAGTATGTGCCAGTGGGCCGCAACGAGCCGGTGCGGTGCAACCTCTAACCCGCGGAGAAGTGGACGAATGACAGCATGAAAGGACGACACAAAATATCGACAAAAGAACGGCCTCGGAGGCAGCGTCTGTAGAGGAACAGCTAGAGGCGCCACAGGTGTCTGATAGTTATTTTGTTTTGCCAAAGATAATAGGTCTGTCATTATCAGGGCAGACCATCGCTTGATTTTTTTTGTTTTTCCTTTAGCCTGAAACGCATCGCAGTCCTGCTATATACTCCTGACACGCGGGTTCGCGGCATATTGGGTTGCTCTGTCGCTGGAATTTCAATTGTATATCTCAATGGGCTCTCAGTTGACCCCATCCTTACAGTATATATACACTTGACGTACGATTTCTCACTGTACCTTCGCCTTCGGAGCCGTGATCGGCTTCCTTCCAACTCTTGTGATTAGTATCGTCCCCACGGTAAATACCGATTCTTTACGCCTCCATAAACTGATGCGGCCCTCTGAAATCGCAATTCAGACCCTCGACGGTGTAATCACCCTGTACTTCAGATGTCACGCAAAATTGGCTGACGGACCGACAGCGTAGCGGTTCCTGCTGTCCACCAAGTCTGACTGAGAACACAATCCTATTCTTTCTGCCCGTATATACATACAATCGAGCACAGCTAACATCCGACTACTGTACCAAATCGGGAAAACGACCGGCTTTGGATGACAGCGGAACGTCTTGCCTCTCGCGCCGCCTTGGCCAAGTGTTCTTTATTATTTCAAATGGAACAAGGGCCAGGGTCTCTTTCTCCCGGGCCTGCCTACTTCTTCGTCGCTACATACATCTGTGCACTTCAACAGTTCTTTCTCCCGCTGGACGGAAAAGGCGGAACGCGGGGAAGCAGGTAGCAAAAACCACACAAAATCCATGCTGCGGCTGGCAGGCGTCGGCATCCAGGAACAACACGTACTCTGCCGCAGCGTAGGCCGTTCTGTTCATGAGGAGGCTGATCCTGGAGGGCTAGATGGGGGCCATGAATGGCCCGTTTGTGGCATACAAAATTGCAAGTATAGAGCCAGCATATCAAAATGTGTCTGCTACGGCGCGGCATGATATGGTGCTATTCGTACGCCCCTCAATATATTCGTTCCGTTTAGAAAAGGGAGGGGTAATATCAAAGGGTATAGTATAATAATGCAACGTGATATAGATGACCTGGTCAAACCAGCACCTCATCATATCAAAGGACAATGGCTGTAGGCAGGCAACCTCATTTCCAAATTATAAAGTGGAAACAAAGTCAACCGTTCTGTTCTAACAAGATGGAAAAAGAAAATCTGACGTTGTCTGCTCTATTTACACCTCGGAATGATGGGCAGAGGTGATTTGGAGTGGCACGGATATCAATCTCACGCTTTCCGCAATAAACGTTTGCTGAGTACAATCTAACGAGCCAATCATCTAGCTTTTCCAATTGATCAGAACCCAAAATCCTTCACCAAGTCGTATCTCACCCCCCTGTCGCGGAGGTTTTTCTTTTTATATTTGGTCTTGGATACATCAGCCGCGTCGTAAAGCCTACTTTGCCATACGCTGACTTTTCTGGTGCATCACTGATTGGAAGCAATATACACATAAAATCCCGGCCTAGCGACAATAATAGCAGCACCATTCTAATTAATTTAAGCACACTCAAATGGTGTGGCAAATACGCCACCAGGAATCTGGGATTTTGGCAGTCTTTTCCGCAGCTTAGAACGAGCCAAGACGGTTCCGTACGCTTATTTTGTATATTGTTGATACCTCTACAAGCCAGTCTAATATACATCCGGGCCGCTTCTGGCAAACTTAATTCAGTCTCGCCATGTGGACTTGTCACTGCTGGGATTGTGCTGTAAGCTTTTTCATTTTATTTTTTTGAATTTTGGAATACGTAACTGGGCGCTAGCATCGTAGTCACTTCTTCGAGAGGTCATTAGGCTCATGAACAGGAGACCATAAACGGGATTCATTGAAAGTGGTAGATAAAAAACAGTGTTTCATTAGAGAGTACATCTTGAATTCAGTGTAAAACTATTGTCAGTATTAACATTTATATTCGACAACAAATAAAAACTTGCGATCAATTTCCAAGAAAATTGATATAACTTGAAAAACGTAAAAAACTCAACAAAGTTCACCAAACAGGACAACAAACATTAGAAAAGAAAGAAAGCAAAAGGAGAAAACCAAATTCCCGGAAGCCAGGTGTGCCTAGGTGACAAAAAACAAAAACCCCTCCCAAGTTTGTGTCCCATCTCCGTAAATTCCTTTTCTTGTGTTTGCCAGTTCAATAAAATTCCCATCAAATGCAATGCCAACCCAAAAAGTAAAGCAGGATGAAACCAAATCATGTACAAAACACTACGATTAAAAAGAACAGAACTGGGGAACATTTCAAACTAGTACTTGACCAGCCCAGTTGCTTGCCAGTGAAAGAAGCTTGCGGCGGATGCCGTCGCTGATGCGCGTGCTGGAAGCCTCGTCAATGCGCTTGACGCCGTACGCCAGAATCTCCGAGGGCGTGTCGAGCGTAAAGTGCCTGCCATCGCTGTGGGTCAGAACGGCTGTGACACCGTCGCCTCCCCAGAGGTAGGCAATGACTGCTTGGTCCTCCGGGGTCACGCTGTCAATGGCGACGAGGGACGTGGCACTCGAGGATGGCGCATTGGCACCATCGCTCACGCCATTCCCGCTCGGGTGACCACCCTGGCTCCGGGGGCTCAGGCCTGGGGACAGTGTCGGGCCCGTCTTTAGAGGCGATCCTATCAATGTCGGTGATGCAGTACCTGCAACCGCTGACCGCGACCCGGCAGCAGAAGCAGCGATATTACTCGGCTCATTGCCCGTCTGCTGCTGCTCCGCCGCGTTGCTGTCCAAGTGACAGACGCTCTCGGCCCAGAGAATCAAGACGGCCCGATACAGCGCAGCGCTCCACCAACTGGGGCGACGGTCAGAGGGCATCTGCCGCAGGACACGTAGAACCTGGCCACAATGGAAAATAGCCTCTTCGCGTAGAAAGATGCAGCGCTTGTGCCGCACGGAGGGCTCGGTGGAGTTGGAGAATCCATCGCGGCGGGCAAGGCGCTCGATCTCTGGGAAATTGGTGACGGCATTGAGCGAGATTAGATGGTAAAGTACCAAATTGCACTTTGTGACGGCGCAGCCCGGATTTGCCTTGTAATAAGCCATGGACAGCTCGTACCAGTGCTGCAGCTGTGCCTGAACCTCTTCGAGACGCTGCATAGTCGAAGCCTTGGTGACTGTGCGGTTTGTGGTGCGGCGTACCGGGGGCACCTCGGGCAGGCAAGACAGCATCTGGCGCAAATGGCAGAGAAGGCCCTGAAGCGGGTGCAGAAGAAGGCGCAGCTGCTGTGGCGACAGCGTGGTCTTGCGGCGAGCGAGGTTGTCGTGCAAGAAATCCTGGAAGAGCTCGCAAAGCGATGGGGTGACTGACGATGCCGAGGCGCTGTTGCTGCTACTCGCATTGGAGCTTGTGCTGTAGGTGCTCTGGGCGATGGCGGCCCAACGTTCGGCCGTGGGGGCAAGCCACAGTGCCTCCGAGCTCGGCAGAGGGCACTGAAGATCGCTGATGGACAGAACAGGCGCAGTGTCGTGGAACAGACTCAATTCCTGGTCGACCATGACCCAGTTATAAACGAGCCGGTTCTGCGACTCCCGGTGCAGCCACGAGCGCCATCGAAGCTCTGCGTTCATAGGGCTGCCCAGGCTGGGGACCATCGATGGCTGTGGCTCGAGCATACCGGCATGTTTTAGCATCTACCACTTGGTTAGTAAACAATTGGAACTAGGCCCCAATTCTGTGAAGATAAAAACCTTACCGAAAGATACATGCTGCGCTGGCCCATTGCAATATCCATCTGCCACTTGTCACCACTCCATGCACCCAGGAGCGTGAACAGAAGCGCGCACCGCAGTGCTGTCGGGTCGGCAGACAGCTCGACATTCTTCTCAATAATGTCGAACAAAGAGATGCGGCACGTCTCAGAGAGGCCGGCAGACAGGTAGCGTGCCTCTGCCATAGGCACTGTTGCGGCACCTTGTGCAATCATGAGCAGCACCAGAAGCGTCGACGCTTGGCTGTTGTCGAGCATCTCGTTCGGATCCACAACGCCGCCCACAATCAGGGGGTAGTAAATAGCCAGGCTGTGCACGTAGCTCTTGAGGAAATACTCCAGAATACGCGATGGGGGCAGAACGATGAAGTTGAAGTTGAAGTCTGCTGACCCAGGGCTCGTAGCCCCGTTCTTTGGATACATACCAGACCGATGAATATCCAGAGCCTTGTGAAGGAAGCTCTGTGTGATGGCGAGCATTTTGTCGCGGGACCGGGATGTCAACGGCACAACTTGGGGCGCGTTTATTGTTTCCGCCTGGTGACTGTCGAGGAATTGCTCGAGCGCTGTCCACGTTCCATCCTGTTTGGACTTCTGCTCCAGACACTCCAGGTGCACGATGGCTGTCCGAGGACAAGCGCCCGAGTAGATGGGCGGCGTACAGCGGGCCAACGGCCAGGCTGCCTCGGATGCGACCACGACCTCAAACTCGGGGATGCTGCCTTCACTGCATGGCGCCATGGCCGCCATATCGAACATGGTCAACGGCTGCTGCAAGTACTGCTGCTGCTGCTGCTGCTGGACAAAGCTTTTCCCGTTTACGTGGATGCTGCTAGCAACGCGGCCAAGATCGCTCATGCTGTTCAAACCATGGCCGGTGCTGGCCGTGCTGTTTTTACGCCCTTCATACTCGCCCGTGCCGGTCGAAGACAGGATGCTGGTGCCACGTGTGTGTACCGAGCCCTGCGATGAAGACACGGTCATCGGCTCCGAGCTCGAAGAAATGTCGCTCAGCTCTGTCGTCGCCGTGAATGGCGGGATCAGACCAGCAGCGGCGGCAGCAGCCATGTCCGATGGCCGGCCCAGCTGCAGTGGATTGGCGTAAATGTCCATATCCATGGGGTAATCGGCCCAGATGAGATCCTGGTAGCTCGTTTCCGGTCCCACGAAATCGTCACTGCCCCCAAAGCCCATAAACTCATCTAGGCCGTCCACGCCACGGACGCCTTGCGGGGAGTTGAAGTTGTCGGGGCTCAAGTGGTTGTTCATTTGCAGCGGAGACTTTTTGGATTGGCCAAATGGGTGTGCCGCATCCTGGAGCTGGACATGTTGCATGTGGGCGTGCTGATGCAGATGGTGCGGTTGCTGCTGCTGCTGCTGCTGCTGCTGCTGCTGGTGCGAATGGTGGCGGTGTTGATGGTGAAGCTGAGAAGGTGCGAGTCCCACACTCGGATCGGAAAGACACATATTTAGACCTGTTGCGTCACCAACAACCATTTGCTCTAATCCCAACGGCGTCCGCAACGGAGGCGAGTCAAGCTTCATACCGCTTGTTCCGGCCACAACCATTGAAGAATGATGCTGCTGCTGTTGTTGGTGTTCCAAGTCAATAAATGCTGCCGGTGTCAAAGGTTGGGGCCCGACAGAGTGCGTTGGCGATGTCGCCATCTGCGCTGTGAATGCTGCAGCGGCAGCGGCGGCAGCAGCACTGGCTTGGGCCGCGCGTACGGCAGCTTTGGACGAGCGGCGGGCAAAACGGGCAGCGCAAGGTAGGTTCTTCTCTGCGCAGCGCGAGCAGGGCACCCGTTTATCACAACCGGTTTTGGCGTTGGCGCAATTTTGGCAAGCAATGGGCGTACGGCCCGCAACCGTAGGAACACCTCCAGGCAGTGGTTCCATAGGATCTCTGGCCTCATGATAGGTCGAGTGGTGCCTTTGTAGCAAGTCCCTGCGACAGAGTTAGTGGTTTTCTCAGACCGAGAACTTGTTCAGCTCGTTCGTAAAGGTCTTTACCTTCTAGCAAAAGACAATTGGCACGCGCTGCAACGATGAGGCTTGACATTTGTATCTGTAGGTTGCGTATCTGTTAGCTCGCGCAAATAGAGTGGAGTATTTGGGGCCGAATGGAAGACGTACGACTGGGAATATGTCTCTCCAGATGCTCCTTGCGGGTGAAGCTCTTCCCACAGTACGCGCAGAAGACCATGGCGGGAGCTTTGGCCGTTGTGCCCGAAAGCTGCGGTTTCGATTGTGACGCCAGCTTGACTTATTGCTGGCACTATTGCGTACCGAATGTAAGCGAGAGGGCGATGGTACGTTATGGAGTCGTGTATGGTGCTGGCGTGCGGTGCAGGCGCTTGGGAGGTACGATGCTCGAGAAAAGAGCAAAACTTTGAATGTCAACAAACCGGACGATGACAAAGATGCTGGAAGAATGGAGGCTGGGGTAAGGAAAGGTTGATAAAGACAAAAGTGATGACAAGGTAAGCAACAAGTATGACATGTGTTTGTTCGAAATGGAAAGATGGAGAGATGAAAAGAAGGTAAAATAGTTTTAAACAAAAATAAGGCAAGGAAAAAAGCGAGGGCTCCTAGCTATTGACGTTAGATACCCGCAAAAAGGAACTGTTCGGGACAAGGACAAAGCTTTCCCAGGGTGCAGGGGCAGCAATAACGAACACGATTAACAGTGTCCCGGCATACGGTGTATGGAAACGAAGGGTCGGTTTTTCGCTTCATATGACGGTCGGGAAATATTATATACGTAAAGGAAGGGCCAAGATAAATAAGAATAGAAAAGGGAAGACGAGAGAATAGAGAGGTACGAAGGCTGGAAACAAAATCAACAAGAACGAAAGAAAATAAATAGAACGAAGTACACCGGATGCAGGCAGTTTCAGCTTAGTGTTTGCATAGAGATAATTGATCATGGTAACGCAGCCTACTTTACGACACAGTGACGAGGACCACATTGGAGCCAGGTAATAACGTGCGGGTGTTGTGAGGCGCTGGTGTATGGAGAGAGGGGTGTGCTGGTTGTACTGGGTGTATTGGGAGTGCTGGGAGTGCTGGGCGTGCTGGGATATTGACAAGGTACATCAGCTAAGCTCATGAGTTTGAGCTCCATGCAAGACAAAAATGGAAAGAAAGACAAAGCAAAGTGCACAAATGACAAACAGGGCAAAGGAATGAAAGAGAATAAGACGAGTGCACAGAGACAAGGCGAGGACAAGAGGCGGGCCAGTAAGACAAGGACAGGGGTAGATGGACGGCTTAGGTAGCGGCTGTATCCAAGGCATGGAAAAGAGGAAAATGTTCCCGACCAGGTTGTTGTCAATGTTCAGCCGCCACTGGCTTTGTATCCAAAGGGAAGAGTACCACTCTTGGCTTGCTCGTGGCCCTCTGGCTTCTCGTTGTAATTATTAAAGATGGTTATATGGCGGCGGGGAGCAGAAGAAATAGGACAAGTTGGAGAATGAATCAGCGTGTAAGACCCATCTTGGTCCAAAGATAGCTCGTCAAGACCACAGGTAGGTCAGAGGCGCTCTGTTGTACATACCTGTGAAGAAATGGTGTACAGGCCCGCTGTAACGGAAGCATGACGATGAGACACACTTGGAAGGCGAAGAAGAGGGCGGCGGAGAGCAAGTGCTGATGGAAGTGCAGAGACTGTGTATCCCAAAGATGCGTCTGCTGTTGATCGAGATGTTGTTCTCTGAAAATAGGCGAACACTATTATTGGCTAGGCCGTGTCTGCTGCATTGTGGCAGAATTGTTTGTTGCGCTGCAAGGGCCTCATCTTTCACCAACTTTCTATTCGTAGTCCATCGCGTTTTTGCAACTCATCTTGTTCGTGTGCATAGGACAGTAAACACAAAGGGCTCTCTTGGCAGCCAGTTTCGTTTCCGTCCTGGAAAGGCATGGACGAGTCGAAATCATCGGCTACCAGACCCGGGTTGTTTGACCTCGACAGGACTTGCTGGACAATGCTGGACAAAATTCTAGATGGCCCAGGACGGCAATCAATCCAGACGGCCTGAGAGCCAGACGACGACGACACCGACAATAATAAATTAATCGGGTACGCAAAATAGAATGGAAAGTGCCAAGGCGTCGAGGCGAAGATAAGCAGACACGACGGAAGAGTGAGCACGAAAGAAAATGGTTAAGCTGGAGCAGGTTCGTCGTAACGAGCGGATAAAGTGTGAGGAGGAAGCAAGAGCGGAAAAGAGAACGAAATTAAAATAAAAGGACGATGGGAAAAACACGTAAAAAGAGAAAGACTAAAAGCCAAAAGGTGAGGGCATAATGCAAAAGCACGTCCAAAGCCTCGGGCCACTCAGGCAGGCCGTTCTGTCCTGTACTTGCTCAATTTCCATGCACGACGCAAGCCACACGGGGCGATCGGGGCGACCAACTCGTCTGCTGGGCGTGAATTCTAAGTCTCCCTGTCGATTGTGTCGCAATATGTAGCTCGTTTGACCTTTCCGTCTCTTGACTGTCGTGCGAAAACCTGCAGTGGTTATCGTATACGAGATGTATACGAATTGGCTCAAGGCGAAGCGCATGCACTGTGGGAAAGCAGGGCGACGAAAAAGAGACAGGTTGGAGCATGCGGCCGTCGACTACGCAATGGGCGATGCAAGGGCGTCGGAATTAAATTGATGGCGGGTCAACGTGAACGGGCGAGCGACGAGGCCGCGACGACGGCCGCCACAGGGAGATCATAGGGAAGAAAAGGGAACGAGAAAAACATAGAGCATGATGGCATGAACTGGCAAGCGAAGGAAATAGAGTGATTATGCAAGCGGCGATTCATAACCTTGGGAAACAACAACAGCGGAAGACAGACTATGACTCCTTTCAGAAAGCGCGACAATGAGACAATACGGCAAGACATAAACGGAGAGCCGCGTGAGTCCCCAGCAACGGGCGACCCGCCTGCCACATGGAGAGTGGGCCAAGAAAATAGCCTTATAGGCAACGAGCCACTGGTAACCACATGTAAAGCAGGGGGATATTTTGGGGCCATGACCTCCGGGACCTCCTCGGCGCGACCGTGAGAGGATGCCCATTATTTGCTTACCTCGACTCTTGGATGCTTGGATACTTGGAATGGCTTCATTCGACAGATCGAGGCCCGCTCCAGTCTCACTGCTGATGCTCCGCTGTCGACGGGATCCAACGTTGCCAATAACATGCAAGCCTATAGCCAGGCACAGATCTGCAAAGACAATGCGAGGCACGGAAAAGAGTGGGTGAAGGAGGGACGGGGAAGCGCGGCGTGGGCACGGCGTGGGCGAGGCTGGAACCACCGTTGCAGGAAAGCTCACCGACTGAGACCGTTATTTGCGTGCTGGTGGCAAAGAGGTGCAACGCGGCGACAGAATGGGAGATGGGAGATGAGAGAAGGGAGAAGGGAGAAGGGGTGGGTGGCCGAGGCAGGCAAGGAATGAAGATACAAGTGCTGAAGAATCTAGCAGGGCGGGCAGGGACGAATAGGAAGGAGCAGCCAAATAACACTGCCCAAAACGGAAATGGAGGAGAAGAGCAGGTGACACCCACACACACGAATCCCAGTCGCTCCTGCCCCTCATTGGTCTGACAAGAGCGAGAAAGATGGCAACGACGCAACTAAGTTGACGCACGTTTCGGGATAACATAGACAAAGAGATGCTCGGCCGTGTGTCTTTCTTACAACAAGAGGGGGAGCAATAAAAATGTAATAAAATAAAACAGATCGAGAAGAAAAGGACATGCCACGCACGAACCAATCCCGCGCCAGCGGCTTCTTGCTTCGTCCCGCCGGTAGGTTGGCCGTCGTTTGCGTGCATCGCTCTTTCCAAGGCCACTAACGACAATGCAATCGCACCCGCCCCTCCTTCCAGTTTTGCAGCCACACCCCAATAGCAGGCGCCGTCGTGCCGCATTAACAGCTGCCTCCTGCCCCCTTTCTCTTCTTCGTTGCTGTATTTCTCAGTTAGACCTTCCACGAAGTCGTTCGTTCTTGCAAATGCAACCGCAAATGCCAAGTTCGCACCTGCCCAAGAGAGCATCGCACCTTTTTTTAGCATTTGAGCAACTGCTGCGGTGCGTCGTTGGCTCCTTCTCTCGCAGCGGGAACCTCTTTAGCCGTTCCGTGGATTCCTGCCCCACGCAAACGCTGCGCCGCTGAACATGGCAGCACACTCCTCGCTCCTTCTCGCGGCTTACCCACTATTTCGTGTTCGTTCAAGTTCTTCTGTCCTTCCACAACCAAACTTCTAGCCAACGTCGTTCTTTGTCCCCTCTGCAACCCAATGATAAGGCTGTCATCCCTGCGCCTTGCTCCAGTATTTCTTGTCTTTCATCCATCAACAAGTGTTTTTCGTGCTGCGCTTGCCGGCGACGTGAAGCGTGCGTTGACTTGGCACTTTGCTATGATCCCATTTTCAGCATATGTGTTATTTGCTAATAAAACGCCGAATAAGGAAAACGACCTGAATATCCATATGTGTGCCTTTTTATGACTGTTCCATATTACGGCTAGAGTCCGTGTTTATTATGCTGCCCATGAAGATGGACAACGACTCAGACAAACAAGCAGGAACAACAACGGAAAAGAGCCAACCAAAAGCGTCATACTGTGTATACGAGATCACATATACCCTCCATATTCTTTTAGCTCTGCAGCATGGAGCACGCGAAATCTAGCCCGAGACAAGAAAATGAGTCCCAGATAGGAAGTCCTTCAAGAAGGCTCCGTGTTGCACTGTTGGTCTTCTTAAGCATGGGGGGCCTTACGTCTCACGAAGACGCCTGTAACAACGGCACAGATCGTTCAAGGCAACACAAACGATACGGGCGACAGCACGCCGCGACTGGGGAAAAGAGTCTGATTGCTTTGTTGCAGTGCTATG